AGAAATGAATTAATGCAAGACAGTTACGAATGCAACGTGTACGCGGCAGTAAAATTCGGCGCATCGAGACAGCCGTTCCCGAAGCGGTGATTTCCGGCGTCCGAGAAATTTTCGCGAATTCTCGCGATCTTCCGGCCAGGCGTGCACACGCCGGCTAATAAAACGCGGCGCGGATTCGAATTTTCCAGCTGTAATCGAGTTCGCCGGCAACGCAGAGAACTCGTTCGTCCGCACTCGAACGACCAAAGAAATTCGATTACCGCGGGAGAGTTTTCCATCGTTCCTGCATCGATTGTTTACCACGCATCCGCCACCCACCCGTTCTCCGCCCCCCTTCGACCGAGGGAAAATCCGTTTTTCCTTCCCCCACCCCCCTCTCACCCCCTGGAAACGGCTCATCCGCAGAAAAAAACCTTTGTCGGTTCGTTTCTGACGGTCGCCTCGCGAATGCAATTTTGCAATTTAACCTGAAGTCAGAGGAACACGGTCTGTAAAGCGAACCGACCGTTTTTTGCCAAACTGATTAACGAAAAAAAAAAAAACAAACACGAAAACTTCATCTTCGTCCCCCAACTGCGAATTCTGTCGAGAATTTTTCGAAACGCGTACGCGAGAAAATTGTCAACTCTTGTGTTGACCTTCCAAGAATATTAAATTGCAAAGAGTGAACTTGGAATTTTTTTATTTTTTAAAAATTTGAATTCAAAGTTTTTGGGTGTTTAAAATTGATGAATTGATGGAATAATAGGGGACCAATTCATCGAGTAGGATATCGAGGGTACGTCCATTGACCAAAAATGATTGCAATTGACCCATGCAACTGAAAACAATTTTTTTCGAACGATCTGAAATTCTTTCTTTTCACCCAAAATTTTCAGCACCTAATCGAATTTTTTTCTCGAAACTGCGTAGGATTTCGAAGGTATATTTATTAATCAAAAATAATTGTAATTGAGTTCTTCAACTAAAAATAATTTTTTTAGAAGGATTTAAACAAATTTTTTATTATCGAACAATTTAGGCACCCTACCCCCTGTCGAATTTTCTTAGAAATCAGTTTTTCATTTTTAGTAATTTTGTTTGACGCGCTGCGGAAATATTGTTTAATACTTTTTTGTAGGTACCCATGAGCTCTACTTCAGAAAAAAGTTTCATTGTAATATATTCATTATTATATGAGTTATGGTCATTTGAAAATTGGTCCATATTTATAGTGAATGCAATTTTGCAATTTAACTTGAAGTCAGAGGAACACGGTCTGTAAAACGAACCGACCGTTTTTTGCCAAACTGATTAACGAAAAAAAAACAAACACGAAAGCTTCATCTTCGTCCCCCAACTGCGAATTCTGTCGAGAATTTTTCGAAACGCGTACGCGAGAAAATTGTCAACTCTTGACCTTCCAAGAATATTAACACATTACCGACCGATAGCGTATTAATCAACTGTTTTACCGACCGACGCTTACCGACCGATAGCCGATTAATCAACCGCTACCGGTCGGTAAAGTGTTAAATTGCAAAGAGTAAACTTGGAATTTTTTTATTTTTTTTTAAATTTGAATTCAAAGTTTTGGGTGTTTAAAATTGATGAATTGATGGAATAGTAGGGGACCAATTCATCGAGTGAACTTAGTGCTTAGAGCGCCGGAGGGTTGATTAAATTTACTTTCTTCCGCAAATACGGTGGTCTCGGTAAAACGCGAAATTATACGAAATAACATTTTTCTTCGATTGACAGTCGAAACTCGGTAAACTTTGATCGATTCCGTTCGCTGATTGAACAGCGACTTATATCTGAGAGGATTTTCGTAAAAAAAAGCGGAAATCCTGCGGCAGAAGGTGTGAAAATGTGAAATGTAACATCAGACTTTCGAGATGTAAGAATAATCAAATTCCTGTTCGAATATTCTGTAAAATTACAGAATTAAATTATTTTATATTTATTTTTTGAAATTATTAAATTTTTTAGTGATTGTAAAGTGTTTGAGAAATAATTGAATTTTCTATAGCAATGCTTGAAATAGAGATGTGTATTTCCCAGTTAAAAGTTTTATTATCCTGTTTAAATTCGTTGGAGGATTTCTAACGTTGAACGTTTCTTCTTGGATAAATAAAAAAAAGAGGATTCGATTCCGCGTATGAAGCTTTGTTTTCGAAACAAAGGATCGTTGTGTTTACATTGAGAACCACTCAGACGTCACCATCCAGCTCGCGCATATTCATGAGCCATTCAAAATCAATTTTCTGAAAGACAATGCATCGTTCGCGATTCCGTTCTGCGAGTTTAGCTCACTTTTTAACAAATTATACACTTCTATACACAATTGTGCAATGATAAACAACGTATCTTTCGTTTACGTGTTCTATTGTTTCATATAAGAAGTATACACAATTTTTTTTTATGTAAAAATGTTGATAATTGTTGAAGATAGTGAAAATATTTTTGTCAGCATGAAACTGAAAGAGTTAGGCGTAAAAATGTTGAAAAAAATTGAAAAGTAAAAATTTGTTTCGCTTAAAAATGTTGAAAATTGTTGAAGATACTTGAAATATTTTTGTCAGCATGAAACTGACAAAATTTACGCGAAAAAATGTTGAAAAAAATTAAAAAGTACACATTTTTTTCGCGTAAAAATGTTGAAAATTGTTGAAGATACTTGTAATAGTCGGCATGAAGCTGAAAAACCACTACTTCACTTCATTTAAGCAATACACACAATTTTTTTCACGTAGAAATGTTGAAAATTGTTGAAAATATTCGATAAAATCAACATAAAACTGAAAAATGAAACTACGTCACTTCATTTAAGAAGTACACACAATTTTTTTTACGTAAAAATGTTGATAATTCTTGAAGATACTCGAAATATTTTTGTTAACATGAAACTGGCAAAAATTACGCGTCAAAATGTTGAAACAAATTAAAAAGTAAACATTTTTTCGCGTCAAAATGTTGAAAATTGTTGAAGATATTCAAAATAACCAGCATGAAACTGAAAAAACACAACGTCACTTCATTTAAGACGTACACACAATTTTTTTTCACGTAAAAATGTTGAAAATGATTGAAAATTGTTGAAGATACACGAAATATTTTTATCAACATGAAAAACTAAAAAATGAAACTACGTCACTTCATTTAAAAAGTACTTAGAATTTTCTTTTGCCTAAAAATGTTGAAAATTGTTGAAAATTGTTGACAACACTCGAAATATTTTTGTTAAAAAACTGAAAAAAATTACCTCACTTCATTTAAAGAACACATACAATTTTTTTCGCCTAAAAATGTTGAAAATTGTTGAAGACACTCGAAATACTTTTATCAACATAAAAAACTAAAAAAAGAAACTACCTCGCTTCATTTAAAATTTATCCAAGACACTCCAAAAATATTTTTGTGAGTTTTCAAAAAATAAAATAAAATAAAAATTAGAAGTAAACATTGCCAAGTTTCTAAATAATCGAATTTATAATAAATCTCTTGTAACATAGTTTGCAGAATCAGTTAAATCGATCGTCCAAGTATTGCTCGACGGTATTTATCGGGCATATTTTGTTCGTTTATTTTTCCCGCGCCTCGCATAACTCGTCCGCAACACTAATTACAGACATATCTTCCTCTATCGAGCGTCTGATTTACACAATTCCTATCGCGTCGATTTCACTCTTCGTTGATCAACACACGCGTTTGTACTTTTCACCGTGCTCCATTTCAGCGAAAAGGTATTTTTGCAAACAGAACAAAGGACAGTTTAAAACTGAGAAAATATTTGCAAATAAATACAAACGAACCAACGAGTTTCAGTTCGAATTTGTTCAAAAGCAGAGGCTGCAAATTTTCTTTGCTTACTTTTATTCCATTTTTTTGTTTTTCGATGCTTTCAATTCATTACAAACAGAATAAAAATTTAGGCATCTATTCGAATTTTTTTCTCAAAAATGGTTAAGATTTCGGGGGTATAGCTATCCACTAAAAATGATTGTAATTGACCGTTCTAGCTAAAAATAATTTTTTTCAGAATGATTTGAAATTTTTCAATTTTCAGGGAAATATATCAATGTATGGTCAGACATTATATTTTTAGTAATGAATTTTTTTCTCGAAAACGCATAGGATTTTGGGGGTATGTCTGTTGACCAAGAATTATTGTAATTAATCCATGCAGTCGACCATAATTTTTTCAGAACGATTTGAAACGTTTCAGTTTTCAGGGAAACATATCAATGTATAGTCAGACATATTTTCAGTAATGAATTTTTTTCTCGAAAATGCGTAGGAATTCGGGGATACGTCTATCCACCAAAAATGATTGTAATTAACCCTCCTAGCCAGAAATAATTTTTTCAAAACGATTTAAAATTTTCTAATTTTTACACCTACCCTCTGTCAATTTTTCTTCAAAATTTTTTTTTCCATTGTTAATGAACACAACCACGGGCAATATTACAATACAATTCGTTAATAAAAATTGAAATATATATAAAATTCCTACGCTCTATTTATCAATTATTTAGTATCCAACCTGACATTTCTCTGCATTTGACTTGTTTGCTAGTGTAAAATATAATCCATAATATTATGAATTGTACAGGTAAATATTCCATTTATTCGATAGCCAGATTGTTTGGAGGGGCAGTTTCAATTAGAAGACTCGGGAAATAAAAGTGCATTTATTAATTACTAAATATAATAATTTTAGAGAGAGATGTCGTCTGAATAGTGCATCAGGGACATTCGTAAAAAGGGACAGTTTAGGGCTTGCACGCGGGGTGAATGTACCGGGTAGCGATGAAAATTTGCATTATTTCCGGGCGCAGCATCTGGGAGTTCTTAATTTATGGGTGTTTCTGAAAATATTCCGGGGGAAAATTTCGATCCATCCCCGGGGGGGGGACTGCGGATAAACTCCGCGAGGAGAATTCCACGTAGGAAAAATTAATAGTGTCGTAGTTGGGGGAACAGAATCCTGGGGACCAAAAGTCCAAGTTGATACTTACGAGTTTTGCAGTTTGCGCTGACAGCATGTCCGCGTACTGTATTAATGCCTGGAAAGTACCTGAAACGAGACGAACAAAATGTTAATATCGAAATTAATCTTGTATACTAAATTGTACGGAATGAGTCTCGTAATATGACGATTTCAAATAACTAAATTATACAAAACAGTTGTATACGAAATCAGATGAACATTTCAAGGTCAATAGATTGGTACTTGCAATTGGTTTTATTTTTTTTATCAAGATATCGACACTTTTAATAGTTTTTTCGAATTTAGATGGAAAAAATTTTAATGGGAGATTCTGGAGGCCAAAATAAGTCGAAAATCAAGAATAGTAATTTTTAAATTGAGGCTTCGTTAAGAAGTTATTAACGTTTGAAGTTGAAGTGTGCAGACTGTCTGCGCGCGCAGCTGTTCGCAGCTTGCAGTCTCACAGGCGGAACTTTAAACGCTAATAACTTTGCAACGAAGCCTCAATTTAAAAATTACTATTCTTGATTTTCGTCTTATTTTGATCTCTAGAATCTTCTATTAAAATTTGGAGTACCTCAGCGATTATTTATTTTATCAACTTGGCTATATTTATCATATACCTATATTTTTTATTTTGAAATTATATTGTACGTAAAAAAATAGATAGCTTTTATCTGAAACATTTTTTTGTAAATTCAATATCCAGGATAATTTTGTTTTTTTTTAATAAAATAGACTTAATTAGACCGTTAAAGGGTTGACGTTAGGAAACAGAAAAGACAACAAACGATGGTTTTATCGGTGTTGCAACAACCGATGGGAAGAAAACGTCGAACGGAACAAAAGCGAGAATTCTCAAAGAACAAACGTACAAATAGCGGTTAATTGGCGAAATCACGGAGGCACGGATTTTAAATTAAACCGAAGGCGTGCTCTCAGTGTCCAATTAAGGTTTCATTCGGTCAAGTGGCTGCTCGCCCGTTCGATCTTCATATTTTTTTCCCCCCTCTCCCGTCCCTTTTCCACCCCTGTTCCGCCACTCGTTGATTCGATTTCGAGTAATCACGGCTTCTATTTTCGATGTCAGGGCTTCCTGCGGTTTGTATCAAACTTCGATCCACGCCCGTTGTTCCGTTTCGAAACGTCCACATTATTATTTTTATTCAAATTGTCTTTCAAGATTTGTTTTGTTCAAAATATTTTTTTAATTCTTCAAAAGAATTTTATTTAATTCTGGACTATTTTTGCGTTATAGTGTAATTTATTTTTAGTAGCAAAAACATTGTATTAAAATATAAATTATCTAAATATTCTTGGGCAAGTACAAAATTGGGTATTAATACAAAAATAAAATTTATACTACGAATAAACTCTAAATAATTATTTTTACCCAAAATATCTTTCTTAAGGTTTCTAGAATATTCAAAATATTTTTAATTCCTTAAAAGAATTGAATCCAACTCGGAACAATTTTTGTATGAAAATATAGAGTATCTCGTTATCCAAGGAAAAGATTGATACTGTAAAGTAACAACCGGCGAATGACAGACTGTTTTACGAATGTAATTGCGTCCGTGCACGAGAAAAGAACAGCGAGCAGAACAGAACGTTAAAGATTCGATCCGCCCAAGGCGTTTCCCCCCCCCGCGTTCGTCAAAGAAAACCGAGGCAAGAATTTCAATTCGAGGAGGCCGGAGCCACTTCCGTTCCTCGCGGCCGTACGCCCCGGTGTGTTTCAAATTAAAAACACACACTCAGTGGCGCCCCCTTTCTCGTTCTGTTTTTTCCCCCCGTTCCGCGGGGGCCCCGCGGGCGCTCCTGGAATCGTATTTTTCATTTCGTTTCGCTCGAAACGATTCGACTTCCCGGCGTTCGAAGAACCTAGCCCTTTTAACCCTTTGACCCTTGAATTTAATATAAATTACCCGAAATATCGCGAAAATGTTGGCGGTCGAAAGAATCGCCCAGGGACGAAGAGTCGTGTAATTCGAAGCGTTCTTCGACCAAAAAAAAAAAATAAATAAATATAAAAAAAAATTCGACGAACGGTGCTCGTTGGAACGAAAGTTAATAAAAATCGTCGACGATCGGGCCGACTGAATTTCATTTCGGGAATATTTATAACGCTAATGTTGGATTTCCGTGCGCGTAAAAACACTGGTCCACATTTTCCCCACCCCTCATCTTTCGATATAATGCGACAACGAGATATGAAGTTTTTCGCCGGCGGCGGCGTTATTCAATTTCCATCGTTATTTGATCGCCACGCGAATCGTAACGGTAATAAAAATTCCCCGCGGAGGGGAGTGTCCGACGACGCAACATATTACCGTGAAAACGAGCTCCCTTTATTTCCATTTAATTTCGGCTTCATTTAATTTCCGTCCGGGTCGTGAGGTTTCGAAAATCAAACAACAGTCGCCTCCGGGGGCTACGAATATTAAAAAAAATTTTTTTTTGGTACTTGAGACTCGTAACATGACGAAATAATTCATAAATTACTGTGCAAAACAAGGTTGTTGATTTTTCGAGCATAACTAATTTTTGTTACACGAATTAACAAGTGCCTGGAAGATCAGAGTAAAAATTTCGAGCATTTGTTATTAAAAAACCTTCCAAAAGAAAGTAAGGTTGTCATTTTAAATCTCATGATCGAGGGTACCATTTTTGCCATTATCGATTGCAGTACATTCTTGCCATTTTTCCTCATCATAATAGTGTCTGGAACTGTGTCTAGTGTTACTCTTATAGCTTGTTTCTATTCTTAAGAAATAGTTTTCAATTTAAATCGCATGGACAAGGGTGCCATTTTTGCCATTATCGATTGCAATGAATTCCCGCCATTTTTCCTCATCACAATAGAGTCCCAAACCCATCCAGTATTACTCTTATACTTTGTTTCCATTATAACAAAATAATTTTCCAATTACATCTCATGATTAAGGGTACCATTTTTGACATTATCAATTGCAATAAATTCTCGCCATTTTTCCTCATCACAATATAGTCTCAAACCCATCTAGTATCACTCTTATAGCTTGTTTCTATTCTTATGAAATAATTTTCAATTTAAATCGTATGGACAAGGGTGCCATTTTGTCCATCATCGAGTGCAATAAATTCTTGCCATTTTTCCGCATCACAACAGAGTCTGGAACTGTGTCTAGTATTAGTCTTATAGCTTGTTTCTACTTTTATGTAATAATTTTCAATTTAAATCGTATAGTCAAGGGTACCATTTTGTCCATTATCGATTGCAATGAATTCCCGCCATTTTTCCTCATCACAATAGAGTCCCAAACCCATCCAGTATTACTCTTATACTTTGTTTCCATTATAACAAAATAATTTTCCAATTACATCTCATGATTAAGGGTACCATTTTTGACATTATCGATTGCAATAAATTCTCGCCATTTTTCCTCATCACAATATAGTCTCAAACCCATCTAGTATCACTCTTATAGCTTGTTTCTATTCTTATGAAATAATTTTCAATTTAAATCGTATGGACAAGGGTGCCATTTTGTCCATCATCGATTGCAATAAATTCTTGCCATTTTTCCTCATCACAACAGAGTCTGGAACTGTGTCTAGTATTAGTCTTATAGCTTGTTTCTACTTTTATGTAATAATTTTCAATTTAAATCGTATAGTCAAGGGTACCATTTTGTCCATTATCGATTGCAATGAATTCCCGCCATTTTTCCTCATCACAATAGAGTGCCAAACCCATCCAGTATTACTCTTATACTTTGTTTCCATTATTACAAAATAATTTTCCAATTAAATCTCATGATTAAGGGTACCATTTTTGACATTATCAATTGCAATAAATTCTCGCCATTTTTCCTCATTACAATATAGTCTCAAACCCATCTAGTATCACTCTTATAGCTTGTTTCTATTCTTATGAAATAATTTTCAATTTAAATCGTATGGACAAGGGTGCCATTTTGTCCATCATCGATTGCAATAAATTCTTGCCATTTTTCCTCATCACAACAGAGTCTGGAACTGTGTCTAGTATTAGTCTTATAGCTTGTTTCTACTTTTATGTAATAATTTTCAATTTAAATCGTATAGTCAAGGGTACCATTTTGTCCATTATCGATTGCAATGAATTCCCGCCATTTTTCCTCATCACAATAGAGTCCCAAACCCATCCAGTATTACTCTTATACTTTGTTTCCATTATTACAAAATAATTTTCCAATTAAATCTCATGATTAAGGGTACCATTTTTGACATTATCGATTGCAATAAATTCTCGCCATTTTTCCTCATCACAATATAGTCCCAAACCCATCTAGTATCACTCTTATAGCTTGTTTCTATTCTTATGAAATAATTTTCAATTTAAATCGTATGGACAAGGGTGCCATTTTGTCCATCATCGATTGCAATAAATTCTTGCCATTTTTCCTCATCACAACAGAGTCTGGAACTGTGTCTAGTATTAGTCTTATAGCTTGTTTCTACTTTTATGTAATAATTTTCAATTTAAATCGTATAGTCAAGGGTACCATTTTGTCCATTATCGATTGCAATGAATTCCCGCCATTTTTCCTCATCACAATAGAGTCCCAAACCCATCCAGTATTACTCTTATACTTTGTTTCCATTATAACAAAATAATTTTCCAATTACATCTCATGATTAAGGGTACCATTTTTGACATTATCAATTGCAATAAATTCTCGCCATTTTTCCTCATCACAATATAGTCCCAAACCCATCTAGTATCACTCTTATAGCTTGTTTCTATTCTTATGAAATAATTTTCAATTTAAATCGTATGGACAAGGGTGCCATTTTGTCCATCATCGATTGCAATAAATTCTTGCCATTTTTCCTCATCACAACAGAGTCTGGAACTGTGTCTAGTATTAGTCTTATAGCTTGTTTCTACTTTTATGTAATAATTTTCAATTTAAATCGTATAGTCAAGGGTACCATTTTGTCCATTATCGATTGCAATGAATTCCCGCCATTTTTCCTCATCACAATAGAGTGCCAAACCCATCCAGTATTACTCTTATACTTTGTTTCCATTATTACAAAATAATTTTCCAATTAAATCTCATGATTAAGGGTACCATTTTTGACATTATCAATTGCAATAAATTCTCGCCATTTTTCCTCATTACAATATAGTCTCAAACCCATCTAGTATCACTCTTATAGCTTGTTTCTATTCTTATGAAATAATTTTCAATTTAAATCGTATGGACAAGGGTGCCATTTTGTCCATCATCGATTGCAATAAATTCTTGCCATTTTTCCTCATCACAACAGAGTCTGGAACTGTGTCTAGTATTAGTCTTATAGCTTGTTTCTACTTTTATGTAATAATTTTCAATTTAAATCGTATAGTCAAGGGTACCATTTTGTCCATTATCGATTGCAATGAATTCCCGCCATTTTTCCTCATCACAATAGAGTCCCAAACCCATCCAGTATTACTCTTATACTTTGTTTCCATTATTACAAAATAATTTTCCAATTAAATCTCATGATTAAGGGTACCATTTTTGACATTATCAATTGCAATAAATTCTCGCCATTTTTCCTCATTACAATATAGTCTCAAACCCATCTAGTATCACTCTTATAGCTTGTTTCTATTCTTATGAAATAATTATCAATTTAAATCGTATAGTCAAGGGTACCATTTTGTCCATCATCGATTGCAATAAATTCTTGCCATTTTTCCGCATCACAACAGAGTCTGGAACTGTGTCTAGTATTAGTCTTATAGCTTGTTTCTACTTTTATGTAATAATTTTCAATTTAAATCGTATAGTCAAGGGTACCATTTTGTCCATTATCGATTGCAATGAATTCCCGCCATTTTTCCTCATCACAATAGAGTCCCAAACCCATCCAGTATTACTCTTATACTTTGTTTCCATTATAACAAAATAATTTTCCAATTACATCTCATGATTAAGGGTACCATTTTTGACATTATCGATTGCAATAAATTCTCGCCATTTTTCCTCATCACAATATAGTCCCAAACCCATCTAGTATCACTCTTATAGCTTGTTTTTATTTTTATGAAATAATTTTCAATTAAAATCACATAACCAAGGGTGCCATTTTTACCATTATCAATTACAATAAATTGTCGCCATTTTTCCTCATCACAATAGAGTCCCAAACCCATCTAATATCACTCTCATACTTCATTTCCATTATTATAAAATAATTTTCAAGTAAAATCCCACAATCAAGGGTACCATTTTTGCCATTATCGATTCCAATAAATTCTCGCGATTCTTCCCTGTCCTGAACGAGTCTGGAGCCCAGTATCAAGATTCTATAGCATCGTTTTCATACTCTACATATTAGTTTCTTTCTATCGTTACGAAATAATTTTAAAATTGACGAAATATCGTACGCAACGTGGAACGAGCCCGACGTTCCATCGAACGCCAACAGAACCAAGCCTGTCGCCTCTTTCCCCGTCCCCGTTCGCCCCCGGGTGGAAAACAGAGCCGTGGAACAGGTGCTTTCGAGACACCCTTTAGAACACTCGAGCGCAATACAGAAAGTACTAACGGCGCCAAGTGCGCAGCGGCGTCGGCGTCGGCGTCGCTGGGCCGGAATACACTTGAAGTACACTGAAGTACTAAAGTGCCGTGGCATGTCTGCCCGTGAGAGCGGCGTCTATGCAGGGTGGCTCAGTAGCTGTTGCTTCCTGAACAGAAAGCTTCCGCGGAAGAAAAATCGAGAAGAATTTAATCCTGGGAACGAGTCTCTAATTGTTGTCTCTCAACGGGAAGCTCCGCGGAACAGGAAACACCACTCACGAATTGTTATTGGTGCAACTATTTACCAAATACAGAAAATTGCTTTCCGTTAAAAAAACAGTCCAAAATTAATTTTCGTTTTACTTTGGAATGTTTACATTTTCTATTTTATTCTATTAATTTTCCTCAATTTTTAATCATTCATTTCAAGGTCACATTACATGCTGAATTATATATTTTATTTTTTTTTAATTTATTTTTTGTTTTTTGCAAATTTGATTGTATAATATTGTGTACTTACTGTTTTTCGTGAAGGTGACGATTTTCAGGACTTTGCCAAAACGTGTGAATATCTGCAACAAAAAGGAGAACACGTGGTTAAGATCGACACCATTTGAAGTATATTTATCGCTCCTACGACGATCTTGGCCGGAGCGATCGCTCGCGCCATTTCGACGAAACTACCAACATGTTCGTCAAACAAATTGTCCAAATTAAACTGAAACATTATTTACAAAGCAAAGCACGTTATTCCGTCAGTAGCTCCGTGTCTTTTAAAGAATTTCGAAAAAGTAGAAGGTCCAATATTTGTCGAATCTCTCCGTTATTTAAAAAGTATTACGAGAATTTGCGAGGAGTTGCAAATTTGTTGAAATGAAACGAAGTTTTCTATATTTCACTTTACCCAGTATTTTTATTCCCCCCCGGTAATTGAAGTAGCTGTTTCTGCCCCGTTGCGATTGTTAATTTGTTCAGCGCAGATTAAACATTTCATAAAGAAAATTAAAAACTCTAAAATTGATAGAAAATTTCGCAAACTTTGTTGCTTCCTTGTTTCAACGGGCTGTCCAGTAGGAAAAATGAATCTCGTTAATTAACTTGCTCTATTCCACTCTGTGTTTAACTTTTAATTAAATTAAAAAATTACACGGTAGTCGCGGCTATTTTCATTAAATTTCGTACCGGTCGCTATCATTTCTGAATCACTTTACAGACACCGGGTAAAAAATCGTCAGAGCGAACGCATTAATATTTTCCCAACGTCGAAATTAAACTTTGCATTATTCAGAACGACGTCAACCAGTCTCGAACTCCGATTCGTACGCTCGGAAGAAAATTAATATGCTTCGAATCTCCGGTGCGTTTTCGAATTTTTTTTTTCTTTTGAAATAAATTCAAATCGACGAACTTTTTTTGGAACTTATTTCGAGTAATTGATAATCGTAATAAACATTAATAATTGAGAGAATTTAGTGGTGGTTTTTAAAGAGTGGAAAATATTTGGGAAAATTGGATATTATTAATTTATTTTATTAGTATTATTTAATCATACGGAACTATAATGGAACTTTAATAACCTCAACACGCGAATTGTACGAGGCATATATGTATGCTCGTATGAACATATGATTTATTACATAAGCATCTGCATTTAATTAATTTTCAGTGTAATATACTGATCGATAATATATTGCTTATTAAAAAAGCATTATTATTGCCTACTGTTGATGCAATTAATTGATGGGCCAATGCAAACGAGATAATAATTCAATATTTGCAATGTTATAGAAATTTGGTAATTATTACTTAGGCAATGTTGTTTAAAAAATTCGTATTTTATAACAATGGTTTTTCTGGGGGAAAAATTTATCATTGGTATCTTTGTTGATATAGGAAATATTCAATAAAATAGTTCTGGTGTCAAAAATTCTATTTAAATTTTTATATTTTATTAAATTTTATTTTTCTTTATTATGAAGACTCAAATAATTATTTTTCGATTCGAGTGTTTATTAATTTGACAACGTAGCAAGAAAAATGAGCCAAATTCTATTTTTGAGAGGTGGGGGAAGCCAAAATTTTTAGTAAAATATTTCCATGGTATCAAAATTTATTTCAAAATTTATTTTTCTTTATTAGATTCAAATAATTATTTTTCGAATTTTTTAATTTTATTTTTTGAGGAGCGGGATGCTTAATTTAGCTTATTTTATTAGACCAGTTAATTTTATGCAATCGATTTTTTCCCCCATTTCGAATGGAAATTCACGGGAGACGATCGTTGAAATTAATAACCAGCACAAATATATGCGTGTATTATTAATGGAATCGTCCAGTCATCGTGCCAGGAAAATGTATGACAAGAACGTTCATGTTACGCGTAGAACTCAGCGCGATTATTAGCCCCACGGCTGAATGGCGAACATGGCTGCGAATGTTGCGTGATGCGAACCAGAATTTCGACCGTATCGTTCGTTACTTTCGACGGTTTTCGACGAATCGGGGCCATCGATCCTTTCGGGAACTCGGATATCCTTTTTACAGGCGATCCTCGAAATTTAATCGCGGAGAGAAATGGCGAAATAATAATTTTAAACTGATACTCGAAAATATTTTACGATTTAAATCACTGACGACTAAAATCTCGATTTATTTTTATTTTTCTCACTCTGTTCTGTTCTTTTCACCAATATAATTTTCGAGGGTTTCAGGCATTGAATTAAATTAATTAATGATTTCTAAATATTGATAGGAGGGTGTCTCAAACAGTAAATATAATAATTCGTATTTAACTTTAAGTATTTTTTTAAAGGGTTAAAAGGTGCCATTTTTTGCACCATGGATTGCAATATAGTCTTGTCATTTCGTGGCCATTCCTTGCACAAACAAAATTAAACAAGATTAAATAATATCTGTTTGAAAAATTATTCGAAATTAAATCGTACATCAAAGGGTTAAAAGGTACCATTTTTTCCACCACCAATTGCAATAAATTCTTGCCATTTTAGATAGAGTCTGCAACTGTCTAGTATTACTCTTATAATTTACACATCTATTTGTTTCTATTGTTATGAAATAATTTTGTAATTAAATCGTACGTCAAGAGGTTAAAAGGTGCCATTTTTTCCATTTTCAATTGCAACAAATTCTTGCCATTTTAAATAGAATTTGCAACTGTCTAGTATTTATGATTTACATATCTATTTGTTTCTATTGGAATTAAATCATTTTGTAATTAAATTGTACATCAAAGGGTTAGAAGGTGCCATTTTTTCCACCATGGATTGCAATATAGTCTTGTCATTTCGTGGCCATTCCTTGCACAAACAAAATTAAACAAGATTAAATAATATCTGTTTGAAAAATTATTCGAAATTAAATCGTACATCAAAGGGTTAAAAGGTACCATTTTTTCCACAAGTAATTGCAATAAATTCTTGCCATTTTAGATAGAGTCTGCAACTGTCTAGTATTACTCTTATAATTTACACATCTATTTGTTTCTATTGTTATGAAATAATTTTGTAATTAAATCGTACGTCAAGAGGTTAAAAGGTGCCATTTTTTCCATTTTCAATTGCAACAAATTCTTGCCATTTTAAATAGAATTTGCAACTGTCTAGTATTTATAATTTACATATCTATTTGTTTCTATTGGAATTAAATCATTTTGTAATTAAATTGTACATCAAAGGGTTAGAAGGTGCCATTTTTTCGACCATGGATTGCAATATAGTCTTGTCATTTCGTGGCCATTCCTTGCACAAACAAAATTAAACAAGATTAAATAATATCTGTTTGAAAAATTATTCGAAATTAAATCGTACATCAAAGGGTTAAAAGGTACCATTTTTTGCCACCACCAATTGCAATAAATTCTTGCCATTTTAGATAGAGTCTGCAACTGTCTAGTATTACTCTTATAATTTACACATCTATTTGTTTCTATTGTTATGAAATAATTTTGTAATTAAATCGTACGTCAAGAGGTTAAAAGGTGCCATTTTTTCCATTTTCAATTGCAACAAATTCTTGCCATTTTAAATAGAATTTGCAACTGTCTAGTATTTATAATTTACATATCTATTTGTTTCTATTGTTATTAAATCATGTTGTAATTAAATTGTACATCAAAGGGTTAGAAGGTGCCATTTTTTCCACCATGGATTGCAATATAGTCTTGTCATTTCGTGGCCATTCCTTGCACAAACAAAATTAAACAAGATTAAATGATATCTGTTTGAAAAATTATTCGAAATTAAATCGTACATCAAAGGGTTAAAAGGTACCATTTTTTGCCACCACCAATTGCAATAAATTCTTGCCATTTTAGATAGAGTCTGCAACTGTCTAGTATTACTCTTATAATTTACACATCTATTTGTTTCTATTGTTATGAAATAATTTTGTAATTAAATCGTACGTCAAGAGGTTAAAAGGTGCCATTTTTTCCATTTTCAATTGCAACAAATTCTTGCCATTTTAAATAGAATTTGCAACTGTCTAGTATTTATAATTTACATATCTATTTGTTTCTATTGGAATTAAATCATTTTGTAATTAAATTGTACATCAAAGGGTTAGAAGGTGCCATTTTTTCGACCATGGATTGCAATATAGTCTTGTCATTTCGTGGCCATTCCTTGCACAAACAAAATTAAACAAGATTAAATAATATCTGTTTGAAAAATTATTCGAAATTAAATCGTACATCAAAGGGTTAAAAGGTACCATTTTTTGCCACCACCAATTGCAATAAATTCTTGCCATTTTAGATAGAGTCTGCAACTGTCTAGTATTACTCTTATAAGTTACACATCTATTTGCTTCTATTGTTATGAAATAATTTTTTCTTAACATCCTCGATCAAACGTGCCCCGATATTGCAACGAAAATGACCCCCGCCAGTGGAAATAACCATCGAGAATAATTAAACAAAAGTTTGCCTATCGCGCACAAATGGACGGTCGAAAGAAACGTCATCGATTCTACGCGATTCATAAATATAATCCGACGAGCCATCCTGAAATTTGTCGGATTTCCCAGTTACCGGTCGCTACGGAACGGATTTAATTAATTATATCGAATATTCCATCGCGAAACGATTAAACCCGAAGGCATTATTATTTAGGGGTATTCATCTCCACGAATTTTTATTTTTTTTTAAATCTCGGTATTATCGCCATATCAGCAGAACGGTTCAATTTCTGACGAATTCCGCGGGAAATAATATAAAATATAATTAACCTTAAAAATTAAAAAAAATATAGATCATTATTTCTAATAATCAAATAAACGGAGAATGGAGAAACGACAATTAGCAACGATTACAAAGCGATAAAGAATCGACGAGATCGTTTTGTTTGCCCGTCGACGTGCAGCGATTCTTTATTTTTCATTTCGTCGATTTATCGTTACGACAGAATAAATTCTCCGTCTGATCCATGAGTGTTCGTCGGGCGCGATATTGAATATTCGATGCCAGCTAAAATGCGTGATGCTGCTTGCATTAGGGAGCCTCGCGAGACCCTCGAAATCCATCCGCTTACACGTCACTGGGTCTCGATTCCAT